TCAAAGAAAAAAACAACAAAACCTTCCAGTATGACCCAGTTTACAGAAACACGCTTTTGTGGGCAGGGCCCTAGTCTTCATCCCTGCTACTGCCAGTTCCTGGACGGCAGGGAGTAAGACTGTCATGTTCTCAGAGCTTGCGGCTGAGCACCCCTGGGGCGGCTCTTCATGGTGCACTGGCTCAAGGCTCGCCTTCTCCCTTCCGGCGTGGGTGACATGCAGTGTGGGGTGGGCTGCTGGGCAAGCTGCAGGCAGGACTGGAAATGTGTGTTGTTTTAGATAGAGATTTTTAAATTTTTATTGGAAACACTGAGAGAAGGAGAGACAGAGATCTTTCAGGGCTCCCACATGGATGCAGGGTTCCAACGTTCTAGACCACCCTCCACTGCTTTCCCAGGCCACAGGCAGGGAGCTGGATGGGAAGTGGAGCAGCTGGACACGAACTGGCACCCATATTGCATCCTGGCAGATGCAAAGCCAGGATTTAGCCACTGTACCCCTGCACCAGGCTCTGACTCCTGGAGTTTTAGCTTCAGGTTTCTTTGCTTTGGCTCTATTTAGAACAAAGCTCAGGCATGCAACTGTCTCCCAAGACTCTAGAAAGGGAATGGTCCAGCAGAAAAGCTGAAGCAGGAGGAAGGCAAAGGCTGGGTCTAAATCCTTTTTGTTTTTAAGAATTTATTTTATTGTGCATGGGCACAGTAGCCTAGCAGCTAAAGTCCTCGCTTTGCATGTACTGGCGTCCCATATGGGCGCCGGTTTGTGTCCTGATGGCCCCGCTTCCCATCCAGCTCCCTGCTTGTGGCCTGGGGAGGCAGTCAAGGATGGGCCAAAGTCTTGGGACCCTGCACACATGTGGGAGACCCAGAGGAAGCTCCGGGCTCCTGGTTTCGGATTGGCTCAGCTAAAGCTGTTGTGTCTGCTTGGGGAGTGAATCAACAGATGGAAGATTTTCCTCTCTGTATTATGACTTTCCAATAAAAAAAATAAAATATATCTTTAAAAAAATATTTTATTTTTATTTGGAAAGCAGAATTATAGAAAGAGTGGGAGATCTTCCGGCCACTGGTTCACTCACTGCCCAAGTGGCTCTAATAACCTGGGCTGGGCCAGGCTGAGGCCAGGAGCGGGCCTCCCACAGGGCGCAGGGACCCGAGCACTTGCCTGCTTTCTCAGGCACATTAGCTGGGAGCTGGACTAGGTCTCAGTCTGGTGCTCATATGGGACAGCAGCATTGTGGTAGAAGCTTCACCCACAGTGCCGCAGCGCCAGCTCCGCTGTGTCTAAAGGGCTCACACATCACGACTGGGGCTGCACTTTGAGGTGTCCTCAGTGTTCCTGTTGGTACTAGCTCTGACACAGCGGGCCTCCCTCTGTTTCAGGTGACTTGCTGGGGGCATCCAGGAGCACATAACTTCATTTCTTCCCTTTTAAAAGAAAGTCAAGTTCCTAATCAGGCAGACTGGCGCTTCAGAAACCCAACAGGACCTTTGCTGAGGTTTCGTTTAAATGTGTCTTATGGAGAAAGTTTCCGTGATCAAAATCCGTTATCATTTGCAGTTTTAGAAAAGCCTGCCAGCTGGAGATCCAGACCCTTTTTCCTTGATTTCACAGAAAAAAAACAAAACAAATAGAGATTGTCGTTAAGGTTTCTCTTCAAAATTTAGTCCTCCTAGGCAGGCACATCTGAAGGGGCACTGTGGCCTGGGGGTCTCCAGTTCACAGGGGTGTGTGTAGAGCTGGGTGTTACAATATGTTTGAATTGCAGAGAGCGGTTGTGAAACAAATGAGAGTTCTTGAACGTGTGTGTGTGTGTGTGTGTGTGTGTGTGTGTGTATGTTTACTTAGGTAGCCTAACCATCTCCCCTAGGTTCTTAAAAAAGTCTATGTTTTCTGTTTGTTTGAGAGACAGGCAGGCAGAGAGCTCCAGTTTGCTGCTTCCTTCCCTGAATGGCTGTACTGGTGAGGCACCAGGTGGCAGCTCGGAACCAGGGGCTCAATCCGGGTCTCCCACATGCGTGGCAGGAACCCTGTCACTGGAGCCAGCACCTCTGTGTCGCAGCCGTGACTGTGGCAGCAGGAAGCTGGCCGGCTGTTAGAGCTGGGCACTGTGACCAAACGGTGTGTTAACTGCTAGGCCACGTGGCGCCCTGCCCGCCCCGCACTGAACTTTGGTGATTGTGTTTCCTTTTGTTAGCTTCTCAAACAGACCTTTGTCACATGGCAGTGAAATCATTCAGCCATCCACTTACTTTTCTCAACGTCGGATATCCTTGTGTAATCTTGTAACCAGCTCGCAGGTTAGAAGCCCTTGGCAGCTGCCGGGCACCAGCTAGGGTGAAACGTCCTAGGGGCGCACAGGGGCCCCTTGGGGACCAGAAGGAAGCTGCGACCCTCGTCTGTACCAGTTGCTTACTTTAGGTCTAGTCTCCAAGTGGAAACAAGAACATCATCTCTCGCACCGTTGTTTTTCTCTGTTGTGACACAACAGTAATAATGATTTAAAAAGAAGGCGAGAGGTGGGCCGCAGGATGACTTCCGCTTTGCCCTGGGAGGCTGGTGTTTGCATGACTTAGAGATGCAGGAGTCAGCTCACTGATGCTGCTCTCAGCCACCGTGTGTGTGTGAGAGAGAGAGAGAGAGACCGTGTGGCATGGTGCGCCAGCGGCACTAGATGTTCTTTGTGTCCTGCTGGAAGCCACTTCTAAGCCACTGCGCATCTGAGTCCCTTAATGAAGACGTGTGTTGCTTCCCTGCTGAGATTCGGCAAGGCAGTGGAATTAATTGAGTATGTTGCCTGTCTGTGGCTCACCGGCATTAGAGAGAGCTGCCTACCACATCACAGGGCAGGCAGGCCTGTGGGAAGCTTTTACTAGCGATGGGGTAACTAAAAATCCTGTGCATTTCAGTGGCAACTCCCTGAATGGTAACCACGCAGGCTAGGAGAAATAAATTATAAGAATGTTGAAAAACATTCCTCTGTGATAGTTCCTGATGGAGAAAGCAGTAGCTGAAGGCTACTGCAGGTTCATTGCTTTCAAGTACACAGTAATTACTGTGACAGCTCCACGCATGTGAAAATGGGCCAGGCGTGGGTTTTGAAAACATGTTCATGAGGTGAGGACTGATCCATCACTCACCTAGGTTGTGGACCTCAAGTCTGGGACCTGTATGCAAGTTCTAAAGATGTCCTCTGTCGTTTTTCCTGCCCAGGAGCGATGTAGATTTAGGTAATGCTGTTTTAGGGTCTGTATATATGTATCTAATGGAAACATTTGATGTTATTTCCAGAAGCAGGTTATTCATTTGTTGGAGATTTCTTTGGAAATCTCTCCTTGACCTGCATAGCTCAGTCATTTGTGTCGTAACAGCTCCACCTTGTGGGGTCTTCGGATATTGCTGCTCACAACTTATAAAACCCTGGCTTGTTGCACATCAGAGACCTGCAGATAATTTTTGTATCTTTATGTTGTATCGAGTAGGCATCATCAGCATGGAGCAGAGGTTTATAGAATGCCTTAGTCTCCCACGACTTGCTTAACCCAGAACTTGTAGCAATGACAGCAGTTTAACACGTGTGAGTAGAAACCTACATATAGCATTTCTGCTGGCTAAGCAGCAAGGTCATTTTGTACTTTCTCCCTTACGGTTCCCAGAGCCTGTTTTTGATGTCAAATAGACCGAAGTCATTCTTTTAAAAAAGAAAACTGTATCTAAGCGGTTTTTATTTTAAGTCCACTTTAGTAAGCAGTAATTACGGATTTAGCTTCCTCTGCACCTTGCACCAAGGGAAACTGCACTGAAGTCTGATTACCCAGAAAAATAATATTCCGCGTGCTTGAAGCTCCCTGTAACAAGAAAGCCTGTGTCGAGTCCATATGTCACCCTGGTGTGCAGGATGAGTGGCAGGGTGGTCCCCTTCCAGCCTAGAATATCTCATCCACTTGAATGTAGTCTGTTTAGGGCTGGAAACCCTGAACAATAGAGCTGTCATTTCTTAAAGTGTTTTTGGCGCATATTCTTTCATTTTAAGGATCAAACTTCTAATCATTTTTAAGGAGACTTGGTTTTTAAAAGACAGCCAAATTGAGAGAATAAAGTGGGCAATTGAGCTGATTAGTGTTTGACACCAGAACTGCAGTGTGGCCAGGTAATTAGGCTGATTGGGGCTTTATCTCACAAAGGACTTGAGAAGAGGAGCTTCGGAAACATTTTTGAGTAATTTCGATGTCAAGGGAGAAAATGACATGCATTTGTGGAAATATTGTTTTGACAATGGCTTTCTCCAGGGATGGAAGTTTTGTTTATTTAAAAGCCGCTTCCCCCCTTTCTAGGAGCATTCTTTCTACCCTTTCTGGTTTTCTTTCTTTCTTTCTTTCTTTCTTTCTTTCTTTCTTTCTTTCTTTCTTTCTTTCTTTCTTTCTTTCTTTCTTTCTTTCTTTCTTTCTTTCTTTCTTTTTTTTAATTCTTTTTTTCCGTTTTAAATGACAAGTTCAAAATGCACAGAAGAGAGTAACGATAAAGTCAGGGCAGTACTCGATCCTTGCATCGCAGAGCAGAGGATCTAGGTTTGATCCCTAGCCTGCCTCAGGCAGCTCGTGCCCTGCCGCACAAGTGGGAGACCTGAATTGAGTCCCTGGTCCCCAGCTTCATCCCTGGCCTTGCCCTGGCCAGTGCTGTCATCCGGGGAGTGAAATCACTGGTTGCGAGCTCTGCTTGTCCACCTCTTACGTAAGTAAGTTTTTAAAAAATGTACACAGTGGACAAGTATGTACCGTCCCCCCTTTGGTTCAGCAATGACTATTTTTCATCATGTGATTTCCTCTCTTCTGTCATCCTCTGTCTTAATTTCTTGGTGCATTTTGTGGAGAGCCCATTGACTTCAGGGATCTGATCCTGACAGTTTGCCTCTGAGAGCAGTCGGGTGCAACCCACCCCACCAAAGAAAGGGAACAGGCTGGCGGTCGCTGCAACCCCCTCCCCTCCTCTGTCTCTTTCAGGATGTGTTCCACATGGTGGTGGAAGTACCACGCTGGTCTAACGCGAAAATGGAGGTAACGTGTATTCCCCCCTCCTTCCCTGCTGCCCGGTCCTGACCCCGGCCCCAGCCTCCATCTGCATGATTCTCCGAGCTCTGGCTTTTCCCTTCCTGGATGACTACAGAGCCAAATCTAGATCAAGCTATGTCAGGGCTAAAATATTATCGTGGAAGTAGAATTAGGGGCCCTGCATGTTATAAGTCATTCCCTCAGATCCTTCAGTGAGTGGGATTTCACATGAAAACCTCAGTGACTTAAAATTTTATTTCAGATAGCTACCAAGGACCCTTTAAATCCGATTAAACAAGATGTGAAGAAAGGAAAACTCCGATATGTGGCCAACTTGTTCCCTTACAAGGGATACATCTGGAACTACGGTGCCATCCCTCAGGTATGTCTCCCTGGATTGCTTAGAATGTAGATTTTTAGTTTACTAAACATTAACTTCCTGCTATTAGTAAAAAAGAGAGAGAGAGATTTACATGCCTTCAGAGCTCATCTTGAGAAGCTTACTTTCAAGATGAACTGAATGCAGAATTCCTCCTGTGTTGAATCAGAATGTGTTCCTTCCTCCTGTGCATTGGTTATATGTGAGTTCTGTTGAATGTCTACTCTGCGGAGCGGAGCTGGTCTATGCAATCCCAAGCATGCCTGATGGTTGGATCTGGCAGGCTGGGTCTCGGCACCCTAAGCCACTTGGCTGCCTTTCTCATTCCTGGAAGCGTTGGTGTCTCCTTCCCCCAGACACTCTGCCTAGTGACTGTGACAAGTGAGGCACAGGCCTGTTCTCGCCCGGATTCTCTTGCTTTAGGCCAGCTCCTGTGGCACAGTGGGGAGGGCATTTGCTTCCCGACCGCTGTTTGAGGAGCTGCCTCTGCATGATGTGCCATTTAACCCGCAGCACAGGGACAGCGTGAGGTGGGTTCTGATCCACAGAGTTATGGAACAAAGGGGCAGACTCATCTGGATTGTTCTGTAATCCCAGAGTCACTTGTCTGCCATATGGGAACTCTTCACCTTGTACTCAGATGAATTAGGGTTTGGCCTCATTGGGGCCTCCTGGGAGAGCCTTGCTGAAGTGCTGCCCCTCTCGTGGGCTGTCCTTGATGGTCTCAGCATTACTGCTGCCTGTGTCGGGTGGGTTGACTTTACCCTCCTCTCTTTCTGCCTGCTGTCTTTCTGCCCACTCACTAGGCAAACAGATCCAAGTCCTCTGTCCTCCATGGTGGTGAAGAGCACCAGCCACAGCTGAGTTTTACACTAGCTTCCGGGCAAGCAAAGGTTTCTGTTCTTTCTGAGATGCCCTGCAAGGACTCTGGCTTGCAGTTTAGCGAGGAAAGAAGGCCAGTCGTTGAAGGCTTCAGAAAATCTGTATGGATCGTCTGTCCTGCCTCCTGGCTGTTTTCCTGTTTTGCCTGTCTTGACTCTTTTTTGGAAATGTGTTATAGAGAAAATCTGAGGGACTGGTGTGGTGGCAGCATCTCATATGGGACCAGTTCATGTCCTGGCTGCTTCACTTTGATCCAGCTCCCTGCTTATGGCCTGGGAAAGTGGAGGATGGCCCAAGGCCCTAAACCATCCTCTTGTGCTTTCCTAGGCCACCAGCAGGGAGATGATCAGAAGTGGAACAGCTGGGATCCAAACTGGCACCTATAAAGAGCATTTAAAATGAGAAGAAATAACTGAAAGTTTATATTTTCACAGAAAGACTTATGGGCTATTATTTGTTAATGTTAATATGACCCATTTGGTCAGCAGCATGGAAAGTTAGGAATCAGAAGCTTCAAGCCTTGTACTTCTTTTTTTTTTTTAGACTTGGGAAGACCCCGGACATAATGATAAACATACCGGCTGTTGTGGTGACAATGACCCAATTGATGTGTGTGAAATTGGAAGTAAGGTAATGAAACGTATTGTTTCTCTTCAGTGTTGAAATTATATGAATGAAATATACCAAATTTGTATTTCAAAAACTAGTGTAAATATGTGAACAATACTGAAATGGGCACAGTGTCTCTTTGGGTCACAAATGGGAAGATTCCACCTCATTCTAATCAGTATGTGTGTTAACTTGTACATTTACACCTAGTCTGGAAAGTGTGCACCAGGAGCAGGCGTGTTCTGTGGGTGCCGGAGGGACGTTCATCTCTGTGCAAAGCAGACCTTGCCTGGTGTGGAGTGGTCAGTGAGCTGACCCAAGCCAAGTAGCCGCCCATGCTGGAGCCTTATGCAAGGGCTTCTCAAGCAGGCAGGGTTACTTTACGATTCTGATTGGGGCAGTGATGGGGGGGGGCGGTGAATGTTTGGCCTAGTGGTTAAGCTCCCTCTTGGGATGGTCACATTCCCTGTAGGAGTGCCATGCCTGCGCACTCATACAGGTTTGAGTCTCGGCTCTGCTCCCAGTTCTAGCTCCCTGCTAACCATGCACCCTGAGGGATAGCACAAGCTAGCTCAAGTGTTTGAACCCATCACCTGTATGGGAGACCTAGCTCACAGTCCCAGTTCCCACCTACTATTTGGTGGAGCCTTAACCTTTGTGAGTATTTGGGAAGAGAACCAGCAGATGGAGAAACTCTTGTCTATCTCTGCCCCTCCACACTTATTTATGATCTCTCTAAGGCTCAGAGAAATAGTAAACAACAAAAACACCAAGTTGTTCTGGGTGTAGATGTTTGGTATGGTGGTTTAAGCATCAGGCTTAAACCTCATCAGGCTGTCCTGGTTGTGTTTCTGCTTCTGGCTCCTGCTGGTGCACTCCCTGGAAAGCAGCACATGATACCTCATTATGGAAAAAGGTAGAGTTAGAGGGAGACGTGTATACACACAGATCTTCTATCCATCAGTTCATTCCCCAAATGGCTGTGACAGCTAGGGTTGGGCCAAGGTCAAAGCCAGATGCTTAGAACTCCATGTGTGTGGAAGGGCCCAAGGACTCCAAGGACATGGACCATCTTTTGCAACTTTCCCAGCTTTGTTAACAGGAAGCTGGATTGGAAGTGGAGCAGCTGAGATTCTTACCAAAGTCCCTATGGGATGCCAGCATGGTATAGGGGCTTCATCCAGTCAAAGGTTTTGTTTATTTGCTTATTTAGTTGAGAGGCAGAAAGATAGCGCTCATTGCCAACTTATTTCCTAAATCCCAGAATGACCAGAGCTGGTCCAGGCTCAATCTCCCACGTGAGTGGCAGAACACAAGTATGTAGGCTGTCATCTGTTGTCTCCCAGTGCATTAGCTGGAAGTTGGACTGGAAGCTGGGTAGGACGTGCCCAGTCAGTCTGACATGGATGCAGGTATCCCACACAGCATCTTGGTGACTGCACCAATGTTCCACCCCATAAGTAAATTTTAAGTCGTGTTGTATGAATTGCCTAATTCAGTGTCCTCTATAAAATAGAAGGTACAGAAAGAGCATTAAGCAATGTCTTTGACATAGATTATAGTATACCATAGTCTTTAGCACATCAGACATAGTTTGGGGTAATTAATGTTTCTTATACTATAAGAAACTTTTGAAAAAATAGGGCCTATAAGACCCATTTTCAACCTTAGCAGCACTTAGTCGAGCACTTCCCTGTCCAGCTTTCACAAGCTTGCTTAGGGAGGAATCCTCAGGTAAGTTGTCAGAACCTTGGCATCCTCCTGCGGAGCTTGCATTATCTGTCAGGTAAAGCTTTCCTTCTGAAGTTTCATTCTGTTGATTGTCCTAACTGTGGTTGTTGACTCTCAGGTGTGTGCAAGAGGTGAAATCATCAAGGTCAAAGTTCTGGGCATATTGGCTATGATCGACGAAGGGGAGACTGACTGGAAAGTCATTGCTATTAATGTGGATGATCCTGATGCTGCCAATTACAACGGTAAGGAAATCTGCAGAGTCCACGGTGTTGGGTACCTGCAGACTTAACCTGTGCTGACAAAAATCACATCCCCTGCCAACTAACCATGGCAGCCTGGAGCAGTGGGGCCTGGGGCAGCAGTGACCCTGACCAGGGCACGCTATCAGTATATGTTTTACCTGGATTTTATTCCATTCTGCAGACTGTTGCTTTCATTTTCTCTTTAAGCATATCCCTTAAAGTACGTAAGTTTTTAAATTTTTTAATGCTTGTTTTCATTTGAAAGGCAGAGTTAGAAAAACAGAAGGAGAAACAGAAAGAGATCTTCCATCCACTGGTTTACTCCCCAGATGGCTGTGATGGCCAGAGCTGGTCTAGTCCAAAGCCAGGAGCATCTTCCAGGCCTCCCACATGAGTGGTGGCGTCCCAAGCACTTGGGCCATCGTCCTCTGCTTTCCCAGTTAGCAGGAAACTGAGTTGCAAGTGGAGCCAGTTCAGAACTTGAACCTGTGCTCATATGGGGTGCTGGTGTGCAGGTTGAGGCCTAGCCTGTCATGGTGCCAGCTGGTGCCTCCCCCCCTTTTTTTTAGTTTTGATGAAGTCCAATTCCTTTTTTTTCTCCTGTTGTTTATGCTTGTGATGCTATATCTGACACTGTTGCCTAATCCAGGATCATGGAGATTTAAACTTGTGTTTCCTACTAAGAGTTTTGTAAACTGAGCTCAGATACTAGTCTTCATCTGTTTTGAGTTGATTTTTGTGTAGGATGTGAAGCAGAGGTCCAGTTTATTCTTTTACAGGTGAAGATCCAGTTTTCCCATTACCGATTTTTTTTTTCTCATTGTATTATCTAAGCATTCTTTTTGGAAATTGGCTGCAAGTATGTGGGTGTGGCCTACTGCTATAATCTATGTATCTAAAGTAATTTTTTCAAAAACAGCATGTGTATATGTTGTGTCTAATGTAGCCTTGATTTCCAACCATCATGGGATGGTTGGAAGGCTGGGTGTAACTTCTCGCTTTATCTCCGCCCCTTCTTCCCCCTAGATACAGAAAGGAAAAAAGAGAAAATCAAAATAATGGTCTAACCCACTTTGCTCTAGCCTTTGGCCCTTCGTATCCAACTATGTAAAAATCATCAAAAATAAAATTTAAAAAATTATAATTATAGGCCAAAAAAACAGGAAGTGCCTTGGAGGAATAATGAGGGTCTGTGAAAGGAACACACAGCTGTGAGCTCCCGTGGCAAAGGCCAGAACAGCCCTGGGTTAGAACTGAGAGCTTGAAACAAATGTCCCTGAGTCCTTGTGCACGTAAACAGATGATTGAATACATAAACACATGGGGAAAATAACCAAGTCTCTTAGGCAGAAGAATTCCCAAGTTGATGTTGATGCTGTCCCTTTGAGGGGTAGCATGTCATTCATGGTCATTTCCTTCCACAGTGAGTAGTAGGGAAGCGGGTCATGGTTAAAGAGAAATATGGGAAACAGCCTCCATTGGGGATGTAGGTGGGACAAGGTCACCATCACCAGTGGAGTCATCTTGAGAGTATGTGCCCTCCAAATGTGTGTGAACTCATGGGAAAAGGACTGGGAGGATGCCAGCCCTGTGGCAGGACAGCGAGGAGGAGGAGAAGCCTTCCCTGTGTGGCAGAATCTGTGCGTTGTTTAAACTTTGTGTGGCAAGGCGTGGGTTCGTGTCATTTGTTCACTACTCAGTGTTAGAGCTCTCTGACTGATCACTGGGGTTCCTTATACTCAAGAACATTCTAGAAGGCATGGCTGTCACCAATTCAGTACTGGTGTGCTAGTGTATTATTTTCATGTAGTAGAATCATTTGATGACTTGAAAACAGGTACATCTGAATGCCCAGTTCTGTGGGGCAAGTGTTCGGTTGCTTTCTCTAGATGCTAGCTGAAGTCAGTGTCCTCACTACAGCTAACCCCACCCATAACTCCTCCACTTGCTTGTCCTGATGGTACCTTTTGTGATAAACCAGTTGTACAGTAAGCCTGTAAAATAGTTTCTTCAGTTCTGTGACCCTTTCCAGCCTGTGCTGGAACCTGAGGAGAGGAAAACGGGAACCCTGATGTCTTTGGTCATACGGGAAGTACAGGAGGCCTGGGGCTTATGATTGGCATGGAAGCAGGGCACTCTGCTGGGACAAGGACTGAGTGCTTGGCTGCTCCTCCTGGGTTACCTGCAGGTTAGCAGGAGCTACATCAGAAGCAGTGTAGCTGGGACCTGAGTCAGGCACTTGAATCCAGCATGTGGGTGTCCTGCATGACACTGTAGCCACTAAGCTGGACCTGCCCCCGAAAGCATGACTCTTCACATAGGTCCTGATTTGGACTAGAGCCAATTTTGTACAAATATTTGAAGTTCACTTTTATGATATTGAGCTTGGCAACTGTTGATGGCTGTACAGAAACTTTTTTTTAAAGTACTTATGGCCTCAACAGGGTAGCCTTGCATGTGCTGGGATCACATATGGACTCTGGTTGATTTCCTAGCTGTTCCACTTCCCATCCAGCTCCCTGCTTGTGGCCTGCGAAAGCAGGAGAAGATGGCCCAAAGCCTTGGGACTCTGCATCCATGTGGGAGATCTGGAAGAAGCTCCTGGCTTTGGATTGGCTCAGCTCTAGCTGTTGCAGCCACTTGGGAAGTCAGCCAGCACACTATAGATCTTTGTCTTTCCTTCTCTCTGTAAATCTGACTTCCCAATGAAAATAAATCTTTAAAAAAAAGAATAAATAAATAAAATTAAAAGTTTTATTTAAAAAGTAGAATGACATGGAGATAGGGGGAAATGGATAGCTTCTGCCCATTGATTTACCCCCAGATGGTTGCAACAGGCAGATCCGAAGCAGGCTGAAGCCAGGAGCTACGTCCTGCCCTCCCAGGTGGGTGACAGGGGCCCAAGAACCTGGACCTTCCCTGGCTGCCTTCCCAGAGGCCGTCGCAGGAAGCTGGGTCAGAAGCAGAGTAACTGAGATTGGAACCCCCCACTCGGACATGGATGGTGGCATTGTCATCAAGGCTTCACCTGCTGCACCACAGCGTGGGCTCCTGCACAAAAAGTAAAGGTTTTAAACTCACTTTTCTGTTGCTCAGAACTGGAGCACTGTGGAAGATGCCTGGGTTGTCCAGCACAGTTTCATCATGTTTAATAGAGAGTGTCACAAATTCTCTTACCCTTCAGTATGCGATTGGGGTGTAGCCCTCCAAAGCAGCAGTATCAACCTGACTTTTAGCATCTTCCACCCTCTCTTAGGAGTTACCAAGACTGTCCAGCTGGTTCTTTCATTATGCGGCCCCCAATCATCTTTCCTTTCTCTTACCTGATAGCAGTTACTATCTCCTCTGGTCTTTTAGAACTTATAGTAAGAGCTACCTTAAGACATGAGGTGATTGCCTTTTAATGTGTATGGGTTCTTGGTTCAACAAAATGGTTAGCAGTCACGCTATATGGAGTTTTAAGATTTTTTTAAAAAATGTTTTCATTTATATTTTGAAAGGCACAAACACCTAAATGGAGTTTTCCATCTGCTAGTTCACTCCCCCGAGTGCCCACAATAACCATGACTGGACCAGAACAAAACCGTGAGACTGGAACTTAATGTCGGTCTCTCACATGGCTGACGGGGTCGAAGCTTGAGCTATCTCCTGCTGCCTTCCAGAGTGTGCATTAGCAGCACACCGGATGGGAAGCAGAGAAGCTGGAACTGGCACAGTGCACTCCGGTTTGGGATGTGCACTCCCAGAGCAGCGTAACCACTGCACCGCACACGCGAGACCCTGCATTGACCTTTCGATAACCCAACCCACAGTTTGTTCTGTTAACTATATATATAATGACCATTGATCCTGCAATCTGCTTGTCTTCCTCTTAGATATTAATGATGTCAAACGGCTGAAACCTGGCTACCTAGAAGCTACTGTGGACTGGTTTAGAAGGTACAAGGTTCCTGATGGAAAACCAGAAAATGAATTTGCTTTCAATGCAGAATTTAAAGATAAGGTAATGTGTTATTCAGAATTATAGCTTCAGGGCCTTTTTCTGCTGATATGTGATATTTAACCGTATTGCTCTGTCTGAAGATTTATAAAACCAGGGCCCAGCACACTAGCCTAGTGGCTAAATCCTGGCCTTGCATCCTCCAGGATCCCACCTGGGTGCCAGTTTGTGTCCTGGTTGCTCCATGTCCTTTCCAGCTCCCTGCATGTGGCCTGGGAAAGCAGTGGATAATGGCCCAAAGCCTTGGGACCCTGTACCCATGTGGAGACCCAGAAGAGACTCCTGGCTCCTAGCTTCAGATCGGCTCAGCTCTGGCTGTTGTGGCCATTTGGGGAGTGAAAAGCAGATAGAGGATCTTTCTCACTATATCTCCTTCTCTCTGTAAATCTGCCTTGCCAATAAAAATAAATTTTTAAAGAAAGAAAGATTTATAAAACCAAAGTTTAAAGGCCCAAGACAGTAGCGATGTTACTCATTTAAATGTTGTTTTCCATTTTAAAAAGCAATGTTTATTTATTTTATTGGAAAGGCGGAACTACACAGAGAGAGGAGAGATGAAAGAAAAATCTATTCACTGGCTCACTCCAAGTGGCCTCAGTGGGCCAAGCTTGGGCCAGACTGAAGCCAAGAGCCTGGAACTCTATCTGGGTTTCCCACGTGTATTGTAGGAACCCAAGCACTTGGACCATATTCCACTGCTTTCCCAGGAGCATTAATAGGGAGCTGGATTGGAAGTGGAACAGTTGAGATTCAAACTGGTACTCATAGAGCCCCTTTTCCATTTTAGCACTGAAAGTAGTTTATAAGAGTCAAAATATTAAGTGTTGGGAAAACAGAATGTCTTTCTGTTGTTTTAATGCTTATCTCTTCCAACTATAGGACTTTGCAGTTGATATTATTAAAAGCACTCATGACTATTGGAAAGCTCTAGTGACTAAGAAGACGGATGGAAAGGGAATTAGCTGGTAAGTGTTCCCTTTTTCTTATTTTTAATTTTAACTGTAATGGCTAGAACTAGGCCAGACCAGAGCCAGTTAGCCAGGAGCTTCCTCTGGGTCTCTCAACGCACTTGGGCATTCTTTCCCAGGCACACAGAGACCTTCTTCTCTGTCTCCTCCTGTCTGTATATCTGACTTTCCAATAAAAATAAAATAAATCTTTAAAAGCAATGAAACATGATCAAGAAAAAAATGAAATTGTAAGATCAATTTTGGGGCACAAAGAATTTTGAAATTCATGTGTCTGGAAAAATGTAAAGTCATGAACAGGCATATAACTAAAAAACTATGAGTAAATTTCAAATTTTATTATTATTAACTTTTAAAGAATTTGTTTTTATTGGAAAGGTAGATATATACAGAGAGGGGGAGAGAGAGAACATCTTCTTTGCTGGTTGACTCCCCAAGTGGCCGTAATGGCCGGAGCTGGCCCCAACGTTTAGTCCATCTTCCACTGCTTTTCTTGGTCTGTTAGCAGAGAGCCAGATCAGAGCAGGGATATCCCCTACTTTCACTTGATTTAGAAGGCAGAGAGTTGGAGAGGGATCTTCTTCCATTTGTCACTTCCCACATTCCTGCAGCCACTGGGGCTGGGCCAGTCCACGTCTTCCGTGTGGGCATCAGGAACCCGAGCCCTTGAGTCATCACCTGCCTCCTCCTGAGGTGCACACTGGTAGGAAAAGCTGGGGAATGGAGCAGCCACAGCTCCAGCCGGCACTCTCGTCCTGCTATTTGAGACATTATGTTTGCCAGGAATGTGGTGTCAGAGGTTTTACCTACAGTGATTGGAACTGAGCTTTCTCAGATGCTTAAATCTGTACTTAATAAGATATTTGGATAAAATTGACCACAAGAATAGCTTTACCTTGCCCACATAAATCATTAGAATATTTAATATAGATGAGAAAGTTTTCAGTTAAACCACACTTGAATGTCATCTGGCCCAGCATCTCCACCTTATTTTGTAACTCGAAAGGGGTGTTATTTTTATGGTCTCATCTTACACCTACTTTTGTTTTATTTAACAGCATGAATACAACAGTGTCCGAAAGCCCCTTCAAGTGTGATCCTGATGCAGCCAAAGCCATCGTGGACGCTGTATGTCACATTGCCTTTAGAGAGAAAATACCTGTGGGCTAAGGCTAAATGGGGATAGGCAGTCCTTTCAACAACTAGCTGAGCACTGCCTGTATGCACATGACCCTGTAGAGCGTTAAAATTAGAACCCAGAGCACAACAAGAATATGTTTGAGGGAGAAGCTGAGGGCAAGTGGGCAGCAAAATCAAAGTGATTCCAGAATGTTCCAGGTAACGCAAGTAATGCCTGTTGTCTCGCAGAAGCCATTTCTCAAAGAACCAGTGGACATTGACTTGGTTTGGTCACAGCAAGGATTGAAGAGTTAGTGATAACACACAACACTAGGAAGGACTGGGAGTAAGGGGGTTCAGTCATCCATCAAAGGGAGAACTTTCTGTACTGTTTTTAATTGTTTGATTTGGGTTATAAGAGAATAAATTAGGTCATAAATTATTTACATTTGCAACAGTAAATAAGGGAAACAAAAGAAAATGAGGTCTTTTTATGGCCTTGTCAATGGCAGTATAAGGGGAAAGGACAGTCTGACACTGACACACGGAAATTCATTTTTGTTTATCGATGAACCCTGATAAAGTTGAGTGACAAGAGTTGGGAAGCAAAAATCAGTGGTTAACTGCCATCATCAATTTCAACGAGAACTTTCTCTGCGTTACATGTGTTTGTATGTATAAAAGTCTGTTCTCTTTCAGAAACATACACTCTGCCATTGAAACTTAAGAAGACTGAATTTGTTAGCTGCTCATAGCAGTAGAGTGACCTTCACAGGGTTCCATGTGACATTTAGAACCTAAATTTGGGAGAGCTGGTGTTTAGAATCTTTAAAATGTTTGTCATTTTTACTTTTACGCTTTTTTTCTCCTCTAAAATTAGACTAATAAATTTTTGTTTTATTTTAGTTACCACCACCATGTGAATCTGCCTGCACAATACCAACAGATGGTAAGATCTGCATTCTGTAAATAAAGCATGAAGTCTCTTTACATCCTATGCAAATAATTTATATTTTACTTTTAATTGACAAATAATTATAGTTACGGGTTACAATGTGGAGTGATAAAATTGGGCTACTTGATTAAATCCATCTCATGCTTTTTGTGTGTGTACAAAGCATTTCATGCTTTTTGGAGTGCATGCCTCAGTTTTGACATTTACAGTGCATTGTTACTTATTGTTGCGTGCACTGGCTCCCTGAAGCCTGTCCCCGCTCTCTAACGGCGACATGATGCCCGTTGAGCAGCATGGGTGCCCTTCCTGCCCTGGCCCCTGGCACCCAGCATCCTGCACTCTACCGCTGTGAGTTCCGCTTGCTCGGATCCCACGTGTAAGTGAGATCCTGCAGCATTTGCAGTTTAGGCCTGGCTGATTGCGCTGAGCATCATGTCCTCCAGATGGTTCTGCATGCTTACCTACACACCACACACGTACGGGGAGAAAGAGAAGGAGACAGTTGAGTAGCTTGTGGGAAGGATGGGCTGCTCAACAGATGCCGTGTTTAATGCCGCTCTGTCATCGTGGTCTCTGGGCAGTGACCCCCTAGAGTTGCCCTGAGTCCCACGTAGCTGCCTGTGAGCCATAACGGGGCCGGGCTCCACGTCCCTCTCTGGCCATGGCGTACTTCACCCAGAAAGCAGCCCTCTTCCCCATTCTGTGTTAGAATTCTCCATAAAGTTTTTCTATTAAAAACAAGTTCAGCCTCATGAAAAACAGATTTGAAAATCACGATGCAATTAGCAAGTACTTTATTCTTTGTTTCCTGTTGTGGGTAATGTTGATGCTGAATAGGAATTCTAATTTGTTTTTCTTTTCTCTGAATACAGTGGACAAGTGGTTCCATCACCAGAAAAACTAAATCAGTTTCCCTGGAGCGCAAGCTGATGTTACCACAGCCTTTTCACCTGAAAACCTCAGATGCAAATGTAGTAACTCTTCAGAGGCCTGGATTTACAGAACTCATCTCACTAAACATCTGCCGTGACCCGGCCAAGGCTCTCAGAATATTACTTGTCTCAAAGCATTGTTCATGTCTCATCTAAGATAACTTACCCGCTTATATAATAGCAAAGGTTTGGAAGTCATTTGTGAACAGTTGTGCAAGAGGAACACATACTGGATGTATATGTTGACTGTGTATGAGCAAATAAAATTATTTTGCTGAAACCTGATTTAGAATATTTTTATGTATTTTTTTTTTCAAAGACTGATTTGTTTGTAAACCAGAGTTGGAGGAAGAGACAGAGAGGGCTTCTACCTGCGGATTTGTTGCCCAAATGGCCACAACAGTCAGAGCTGGGCTGGCCCTAAGCCAGGAGCCAGGAGTCTCCTCTGGGTCTCCAGTGTGAGTGTCAGGACCCAGTACTTAAACCATCCTCCTCTGCTTTCCCAAGCACACTGTTAAAGCAACAGAATCCAGAGTGGGGCAGCTGGAACCCAAACTGAGAGGTATATAAGATGGTGCAGCAGGGGACATCTTTTAATTTTTATTTTGTGAAAAAGCATAGCTTTCTTCCCCTTTGAAGTGATACTGTTACCTCTTTTGTTACTTTATTTTTTTAAGATTTTTTTTTTTTTAATTTGTATTGCAAAGTCAGATATACAGAGAGGAGGAGAGACAGAGATGAAGATACTCTGTCCACCAATTCACTCCCCAAGCGGCCACAGTGGCTGGAGCTGTACCAATCTGAAGCCAGGATCCTGGAGCCTCTTCTGGGCCTTCCACAAGGGTGCAGGTTCCCAAGGCCTTGGGCCATCCTTGACTGCTTTCCCAGATCATAAGCAGGGAGCTGAATGGGAAGAGGGGCCTCTGGGATTAGAACCAGTACCCATATGGAATCCTGGTGGTTTCAGGTGAGGATTTTAGCTGCTAGGCTACTGTGCTGGGCCCTTTTTTAACTTTATTTAACTAAGTGGCCCTTTGAGTCATTTACGTTAGAGTCAACCAAAACAGCTTTGCAATTTGGCATTTGCAGCCAGACAGGCCTGAGTTTAATCCCAGCCTGTTTTTTTTTATCTACAATCCCTGGTCGGCTTCCAGCGGCTCAGCCTCAGTACCCCCACTGTGACAGAGCCCATTTGTATCACTCAGGAAATCTTCAGAGTTAACAGATGTGTTACTGAGATGACTGTGCAGTCACAGGCACTTGTAGCAGTGAGAAGCTCCCCTGACCGCCTTGTTTTATTTCCCCAAGTAGCACTGAACAGCTGTGGTCTACTATCCCAGCCAGCACCCTGATTTTGAGACCATGTACTGATTTAACTTGCTTTCCTAGTTTTACATTTTCTTATGTGTAGTGTTCTGTATAACGTAATAGCTTATGAAAGCTGATATAACCTGTGAGATACTGAATAGTTCAAACACTATGAAGAGCTTTTTAATATTACACCCGGGGGTGGATATTGTGGCCCAGTGCCTTAGGCTGCACTAGGGAGGCGAGCATTTCCAGAGTTCCCAGGTTGAGTCTTTGTTGCTCTTCTTCCAGTCCATCTTCCCCCTAATGTATCCTAGGAAATAGCAGACAGTGGCTTCAAGTTTTTGAAACTGCCACCCGCATGGGAGACCCAGATGAAGCTCCAGGCCTCCACCTGACCCATATCTGGGCTTTTGTATCCATCTGGAGAGTGTACCAGTAGATGGAAGATTTTTCTCTCACTGTGCCTTTCAAGTAAGAGATAAATAAGTCTTAAAGAATGAAGAGTCTGGGCCCAGTGCGGTGGCACAGTAGTTAAGGTCCTTGCCTTGCACGCCCAGGATCCCATATAGGCACCGGTTCTAATCCCAGCAGCTCCACTTCCCATCCAGCTCCCTGCTTGTGGCCTGGGAAAGCAGTTGGGGACGGCCCAAAGCTTTGGAACCCTGCACCCGTGTGTGGGATACCCGGAAGAAGTTCCCGGATCCTGCCTTTGGATTGGCATAGCATCGCCTGTTGCGCTTACCTGGGGAGTGAATCAACAGATGGAAGATCTTCCTCTCTGTCCTCTCTGTATATCCGCCTTTCCAATAAAAATAAAATAAATCTTAAAAAAAAAATGAATGAATGAAGAGTCCTAGAGTTGAATTACTTGCCACATAGTTCACTGTTACCTCTGTTGGTCTTGTGATCTTTCCCATTTATTGCAAAATCTAAAATTTGGCAGAAATCAGCAGGAATAAAATTAGGCAATGAGAATCACAGGATTCTGTGACTTTCTGAGTAAAACTCCTGAGAGCAATTTGGTAGTATGATCAAAATTTTAAATTCCTGTCCTTTGACTCAGCAATTCCACTCTAGGAATTCTCTCTGCAAAACGGACAAGGAGACAGGATGTAGCAACAAATAGCAGTGCTGTTTCTAATGGCATAACCTGGAACAACATCCCATGTCCTGGAGAGGAACAGCCGCATGAAGTTTCTGCCTTGCAGAGTTTCAGGAATGAGGTCACTGCACAGACAGACGTGGAAACTATTGAGCACTTAAGGGAAAGTTGTGCCCTGTTTGCAGCAGACCTGTAACTTGTGAGTTGAATCCAGCCGGAAGACTACCTGTTTTGTAATGAAAATGTTACTGGAGCCCAGCCACACACACATTCATTTCCAAAACCACACAATTAAGAGTTGAGGACTGGGGATGGGCACCATATGGTCTGAAAGTATTTAATAGTCATCTTTGAGAGGCAGTGTTTATCAATCCCTGCCACCATCACTCTTTTGTTTTTGTTTTGTTTTTTGAAAGAGCTATAGAGAGGCCTTCTGCGGTGTCCTGATGACCAAAGTCCTTGCCTTGCATACTCCAGAGTCCCATATAGGCATCGGTTCTAATCCCAGCTGCTCCACTTCCATTCCAGCTCTTTGCTTGGGGCCTGGAGAAGCAGTCAAGGACAGCCCAAGGCCTTAGGACCCTGCACCCCTGTGGGAAACCAGGAAGAGGCTCCTGGCTTATGGATCGGCTGAGCTCTGGCCGTTTTGTCCACTTGGGAAGTGAATTGGTGGACAAAGTATCTTCCTCTCTGTCTCTCCTCCTCTGTATATCTGACTTTCCAATAAAAATAAATAAATCTTTTTAAGAAAGAAGAAAGAAAAGAAAGACCAGCAGACAGAGATCTTTCATCTGCTCATTCAGTTCCCAAATGGCAACAATGGCCGGAGCTGGATCAGCAGTGAAGCAGCTGGGACCAGAACTGGCATCTGGGATGCTGGCAGTGCAAGGTGGGGGATTAATCTATTGAACCAGCATGCTAGCCTCATATCAATCTTTTTTCTATCTTGCCAACTTGTGCTTTTTCTTAAAAAAAAAAAAATACTTATTTATTCTGGGGCCTGTGTGACACTGTGGGTTAAGAGGTTCCATATGGGTAGCTGTTTGAGTCCTGACTGCTTCACTTCTGATCGAGCTCCCTGCTAATGGACCTGGGAAAGCAGCAAAAGAGGACCCTGCACCCACAGGGGAAACCCAGGTGAAGAACTAGTTTCCTGGCTTCAACCCTGCCCAGCTCCGGTGACTGTTGCAGCCAAATGTCTCTCCCTCCCTCCCTCTCTGTAACTGAAGAAGTGGGATGACTACAAAGCTCGGCAAGCATTTATTTTTTTCCCCTGAATGTAAATTCCCTGAATTGGACCTACAAGGTGCAGAAGTATGCACATTTACAAAGAGTTTTTTTGGGAGGCCAACCTGATAGGCTAGTGGCTAAATCCTCACCTTACAGACCCCAGGATTCCAAATATGCAACCAATTCATGTCCCAGATGTTCTGTTTCCCATCCAGCTCCCTGCTTATGATCTGGGAAAGCAGTCGATGACGGCCCAAAGCCTTGGGACCCTGCACCCACATGGGAGACCTGGAGGCAGTTCCTGGTTCCTGGCTTCGGATCAGCACAGGACCGGCCGTTGCAGTCACTTGGGGAGTGAACCATCAGATGGAAGATCTTCCTCTCTATCTCTTCTCCTCTTTGTATATCTGACTTTGCAATAAAAAATTTTTAAAAAATCTTTTAAAAAAATAGATCTGTCTCTCTGTAAACCTGACTTCCCAGTAAAAATAAATAAATCTTAAAACAGCAAAGAGTTTTGGGTGCTAAGTTGCCCTCCTCAAAGATAATCCTGGGGTGTCCTTTTGCTGGCTGGTTAGGAGGGTGCCCTAACTCCCAGGGTTTTAAACATCATTTAAAAAAAAATCACTCAGCTCATGAAAGGTTTTGCCTCTACTCTTAGTAATGCCTAATTAACCCTCAAAAGAATGCTCTGACTTGGTATATCAAAATTACCTGGAAGGCTTGTTAAAATGGGCCATTGTATCCAACCCTCATCTATTTATTTGAAAGGCAGAATGACAAGAAAGGGAGAGGGAGAGGCACCAAGTGATCTTCCTGTACTAATTCATTCCCCAAATGTTCACAATGGCCCAGGCTGGTCCAGGATACATCCAAGAGCTCAGAATTCCTGGGCGCACCAACAGGAAAGTGGACCAGAGGCAGAAGAGCCGGGACTAGAGCAATTTCTCCATTATGGGATGTTGGCATCTCAAGTGGTGAATCTACCTATGGCATTGTGACATTGGCCCCAAATGATGGAATCTTAGTTTACAACAACAACAACAAAAAAACCATTCAGAGCCTAGAACGGTAGCCTAGTGACTAAATCCTTGCCTTACCTGTGCTGGGATCCCATATGGATTTCGGTTCTAATCCTGATTGCTCTACTTCCCATCCAGCTCCCTGCTTGTGGCCTGGGAAAGCAGTCGAGGATGGCCCAGTCTTGGGACCCTGCACCCATTTGGGAGATCCTGCTTTGGCCAGTTATTGTGGCCACTTGGGCAGTTAATCAGCTGATGGCAGATCTTTCTGTCTCTTTCTGTAAATCTGCTTTTCCTTAAAAATAAATAAATCTTAACTCCACCCCCAAATCATTCATTCATCCACAGAGTTACTGGATGATTTTCCCTAAGTGAGACCATCCAGGTCCTCTGAGGTCTTGGCCACACCTTCAGGTGGGCGGTACCAGCATTGTCCACCCATTTCCTAATTAATCAAGAGATCACCAATGGGGAACATCTCACCTATAGGTTCCCCGCCCAACAAGGAGGGGTCAAGGAAGGCTTAAAACCCCTAGACCCTTCCTCAAACCTTTGGTGTCTCTCTCTCCCTCCTCTTTTGAGAGCACCCCACCTCCCGGCTTCTTTTCCGGAGGT